AGCCATGGGCACCATACAACGACTGATCCCTTTGGGAGAAAGGTGCCCATCGGGAAGCGTCGTGTGCTCGATAGCTTGCTTAATCTCAAACGGAATCCGCGGGTACAGGCGGAGGGCCTCGTTAAACACGGCGTGAGTATATGGCAAGTCTGCTAGATCCCGGTCATCATCAAACGGTCTCCTCACTTCCTGTCGAACTTTGGCTAGCACATCCGGATGTCTCATTAGCAAGTAAAAGGTCCAAGTCAGTGCTTGGGCAGTCGTATCGCGGCCAGCTGACAGGTAGTTGAGCGCGGCGTCTGCTACCATTTTCTTGTCACCAATGGCGTCAAGAAACGATTGGATCAGGCTGCCCTCGATATGCTGAGATTTGTCGGCGATACCGGTTTCACTACCTCCTGTGAAAGACGTAGAGGCAGATTTTCTGTCACGAACGGCCTTGTCCACCATTTTGGCGCCATAGGACTTGACGACCTGAAGGTTTTTTCTTAAGGTGCCACCGAAGAATATCTCCGTAATGAACCACAACGGGTTTTGAAACCTCTCGGCCGTTGCGCCGGAGGCGTGGTCGAAGGCTTTGCTGAATTCGTCATCGGCGTGCATTTCCATCTAAAAGCATGAGCTGTTAGCCTGAGAACATTCGATGGGCTGGTTTCCTGACTTGCGTTGTATGCCATGTCACCCATTAATCGGGTGGTGATCTCATGAAAGACAGCTTGCAAGTCAACGACAGCCCCCCCCCACTGCGACTTAAGGTGTGCCACACTCTGCGCAGAGTTACGCGGCAAGGCGATTTGCGTCAATATTTTGAGATTTGCTGTACTCAGGAAGCTGAGCCCAGCCTTTCTTTGTACTTCCAAAGATCGCCATCGGCATTGATGATGCCGTTTCCTGTCGATGTGCGTGAGCTGTTTGTCCACCTATAAGGGAACAATCCCATGCAGGCCCAGGACACGTACCCGAAGAGATCCCAAGACCTTTCCTTCACAAAAGAGCCCTTGGAAAAGATGCCTTCATGCTTGAAAATATATTCAAGGTTTTTAGGATCACTGATAATGACACCAGGAGGGAGGCTAGGCACGGCAATCTGGAGTGTCTCGTAGCCATGAAGACGCTCACATCTGACGAAGTATCGGAAGAGTTTCTGGCGAGCTTGGATGAAGACCAGACCATTTCCGACAACAGGCCAGGTGTTAGGGGCGTTTCTGAAAGGTGTGAGCTGTGTTGTTCATCGGATGCGACTCAACGTACCTTAGAGCTGACCCGTGGCGCTTCAGTCTCACTCGCCCCAACACTGCCCAGAGCAACAGGCAGAGCGCCACGGCTCCAAGCACCAGTGGATTGCTCGAGAGCACCATGATCTCGCGGCAGCAGTGGTATCCTGTCAAAGGAGAAGAGATCCTGTCCACAGAGGAAGACAAGCTGATGTCGAACTGTGGCCGGGAGGCCATGCAGCCGAGACTCCGCCCCAACGTTACAGCACCCCAGAAGTGTCTCCACAAAACACCATGACAGGTTAACGTCATTACCATGTCGACGACAACGGCGCCTATCTGAATGACACCCAACAACTGAGGCCCTCAACAATCCTTCTTACCACATCCCTCCTCTCCTCGTTTGCCAATTGAAACGAGTGCCGGCACTCAGATACCATTGAACAAAGTTCACGCGACAGCTACTCTCCAATTGATGTGATCACTCACACAAACACGGTTCTCACACCATCCACCCTCAAACTCGTCTCAACTTCACACCGCACACAAAGCACTTCAGGTGCCAGCTGCATGCCATGGCCCCCCTCATCCCGCGCTTCCACTTGTTCGAAATCGACGATCAGCCCTGGTTCCCCTCGTTCCTCCCGCGCCCGCGTACAAGACGCCCTCCTCGCCACCTGGGTCAACCGCACACCAGGCCTGCAACCGGCCTCGCCAGCGCGCTCGCCGCCGACATCCTCGAGCGCGAGATCGGCCAGGCCTCCCTCCCCTCCCACACCTTCATCGACTTTTGTGCCGGCTCCGGTGGTCCCACGCCGACAATTGAGCGCATCCTCAACGGCGCCTCGCCGCCGCCTCACTCCCCGCCGCCACCTTTGTCCTCACAGACCTGCACCCGAACCCCGCCTCATGGTCCCGCGCCGCCGCCGCCTCGAGCAACCTCGTCTACGAGCCGGACCCAATCGACGCCTCGGCGGCCCCGCCCTCCCTGCTCGCGCAGCACCGCGGCAGCAGTACCGTCTCTATTTCATCCCCGTCGGCGACAAAGAAGAAGGAGAAGAAGGAAATCTTCCGCCTCTTCAACCTCGCCTTCCACCACTTCCCCGACCCCCTCGCGCGTCGCATCCTCCGCGACACGCTCTCGACGTCATCCGGCTTCGCCATCTTCGAGCTCCAGGCCCGCGAGCCCGCCTCCTTCCTCGCCTGCTGCCTCCTCGGCCTCGGCGTCCTCGTCGGCGCCCCTTACCACGCCTGGCGCCTGCGCTCCTGGGCCGTCCTCTTCTTCTGCTGGGTCATCCCCGTGCTGCCCTTTGTGCTCGTCTTTGATGGCCTCGTCAGCTCCGTCCGGACGCGGACCCCCGACGAGGTCGAGAA